TTGACAAAGGAGGTAAACATTACGGTTGGGGTACCAAGGGTCAGCCCTCAGCCCGTTCCTCTTCCTCCTGACTCTAGATGTCATGGCAAAAGAACTCATGGAGGGACCACTGAAAACCATCCTCTACGCTGACGACATCGCCCTGATAGCGGACAGCAGGGAGGAACTCAGGACAAGGTGCAGCGGTGGCAGGATGTGCTCGCTGCGAATGGACTCCGGCTGAACGTAAAGAAGACCAAGTTCCTAAGCTCCGAAGAGTGCGCCGAAGTCATCGTAGATCGCCATGGCGAGAGCATCGAAAGGGTCGAGGATTTCCAGTACCTGGGGAGCAACCTAGCAGCTGATGGCAGCGTGGACCAGGCGGTGACGGCCCGAATCAACGCAGCCTGGATGAAATGGAGGGAGTCCACTGGCATCCTGTGCGACCGGCGGTGCTCGAGAACGCTCAAGGGCAAGGTGTACCGGGCTGTGGTAAGGCCTACAATGCTCTACGGCAGTGAGTGCTGGCCTATCTGCAAGAACCATGAAAGGCAGCTCCACTCAGCTGAAATGAGGATGCTGAGATGGGCCTGCGGCTGGACACGACTCGACAGAGTCAGAAACGAGGACGTCAGAGCAGGTCACACAGACGGCTCCTATCCAGCTGAAGGCACGAGAGCAGCGACTGCGATGGTACGGTCATGTACTGAGGAGGCCTGAAGACCACCCAATAAGGAAGGCATTGGAACTCGAGGTAGAGGGCAAGCGACCACGAGGAGCCCCAAAGAAAAGATGGAGGGACGTCATCAAGAGGGACCTCACTGAAGTGAAAGCCACAGCAGAAGATGCAGTGGATCGGAACAAGTGGCGACGTCTAACAAGAACAGCGGACCCTGCGACGGCGCGGGACTAACGCTAGGGAGAAGAAGAAGAAGAAGAATGTCTCAAGTGAGACGTATAGTGTGAAAGGATTGGTGCTAAATCTGCTCACCCTCAAGCGGTGAGAAGGGCTGTTGTTCGTAACATGTACACGACCCCAGTAGGGGTGTGCACAGGCGAACATGGCCACGAAGAGTGAAGAGACACGTAGACTAGCCTCCGAGATTTCGAGAATGAATGGGTTTTGGATATAACGCGGTAGATCTGGCTTACGAAGGCATCCCCTAAGAAACCGAGGGAATGAGATGCATCTCCAACTCCCCTTCACTTCAGACAAAGTTAGCGCTCCTATACGACAATGGATTACGCGAGCGGATTGAGCAAATGACGTTACTTTAACCAATAATAATCAAGGGACAACACCAAACGCTGGTCCGCACTGGTTCTATGACCGTGCATGCGTAAAAGTGCGCTGTTTGTCTTTATATCCGCGAGCATCCGCTCACAGAAACGAAGGCACGTATCTCGATATCAAATGCAGTATCCTAGCTCACGGGAACGGTATCGGTGCTGGGAAAGCACAGCACCGATACCGTTCGGCACTGCATTTGATAGGGGGCGTTTTATAGCAGCACGAAAAACCCAAGTCTGAACAACCTCTATCATTCCTTCGTGTGATCTATGAAATCACCACGCACTACACGTGTGACGTCTGTAGTGCTTGCGGTGGTCCACTTATTCCTTGACAAAGAATAAATGAACCACCGCAAGCACTACAGAATCCCCCCCGTGGGTTTCACATAGCGATATTGTGTTCCTTGTTCAGGTCGTTGACTGAATGAGGGTTGAAAGTTGATGAAGCCGCGAGAGTTTAGTTTCTTCGGCGGGGATTTCCTTGCTTGCAGCTCTTGGGATGTGCTGAATCTAGCCTTGCATGATTCGGCACTAGACAGGTGAATTTCAAATAGGATTTCGAGCTAGTGATAGCTCCTGAAGACGACGATCTGTTCGAAGTACTGACCAATGAAGCGGCTTTACCACTGGCAAACCTGGTCGGCTTGACAGTATGAAAAAGGTAGTTTACTTATGCCTAGGTTTCGAAAAGACTGAATTGTTTGAATTGTTTGCATCTTTCAAACTATTTGAGATAAACTCTTCAAGCTAAGAAAGCAAAAAGAAGCTGAGATAAGCTTCTTTTTGCTTGTAAACATTCAGATAACCATGAGGGCGGTGAGTCCGTTCCTCGAGGTGCTGCTGGAGACTGCCCATACCGCTAGGATGGTGCTGAGCTGAACGCGGACACCAGCGTCAGACCCTCGCGACAGGTCGGCTGGTAACATTGAGTCGCAACTATGGATCGAAGCACTACTTCAATGAACAATGCTAGGGCGTCCCCCGGAGGCGACGCGCGGTGGGTTCGCCCGACCACCGTGAAAAATGGACGAGGGCTACCGGTTCAAGGGCGGAACTGGCTAAAGAAGATAGCCCATGTGAGACCGCTGCGCATTGCCACGTTGAACATTGGCAGACTTACAGGACGCAGCAGCGAACTGGCCGAAATGTTGAAACGACGCGCGGAGGAAGGGACAAAATCCAGCGACATTGGTGGGGTTACAAGCTGAGCTACTATGGCGAGACCAATAGCATAACGTGGCTATTACTGAGCTGCGGAGCCATTTCACAGAAATAAGACGTCATTCAGATAGACTCATGTCTGATAATCGACGTAGCAACCGCTGTATTTCTGTGTTTTCAGTCTAAGCCCCACAAAGCGGATATCCCCCGAGAGCGAAGTAATCCCGCTTTGTGGCGACCAAATGGCCATGTTGGTAGCGCTCAGAGTGGTTATAGCTGTCATGGCAACAACGGATACGGGACACGCAACGAAGACGGACGGCGTATCTTGCAATCTTGCTGAGGCTAATGATCTCGCTACGGCGTATCTTGCAATCTGCTGAGGCTAATGATCTTGCTATCTGTAACACATTCTTCAAGAAGCGCGAAAGCCACCTTGTTACATACGCAAGCGGTGGGCAGAAAAGTCAAATAGACTTCGTGTTGGTACGCAGGCGAGATCTTCCTGCCATCAGTGATGCGAAGGTCATCCCGTCGGACTGCCTGGCACCACAGCACAAGATGCTCGTTGTGGATACGAAGATTACCAAGCGTAGAAGCGACACCGGTCGGTCTATGGGGCCAGAGCGAATCAAGTGGTGGAAACTGCAGGGCAAGGAGGCAGCAATTGCCCGTGCATGCAGCTTACCTCCAGTCGATGGCAGGCCGGTCGACGACTTGTGGGCAACGTTCAGCGGATCCGTTACAACTGCTAAATCGGCTCTAGGAATTACGAAACCTGGTCGACGTATTGACAAACAAACGTGGCTGTGGACGGCCGAAGTGAAGCAGAAAGTAATGGAAAAGAAGACTGCTTACAAAACCTGGCTCACGCATAGTACTGCCGAGAACTGGAGGAAGTACACTATCGCTAGACGAGAGGCGAAGAGATCCGTGGCAAAAGTAAAGCAGAGCATTTCAGGGCCTATACGAGCAGCTAGGCACCAAGGAGGGTGAGAAAAACATCTACAGATTGGCGAAAGGACGGGCCCAAGCAGCGAAGGACGTTGAGCACTATATGTGCGTGAAAGACTCGAATGGAGAGCGGCTGCATAGTAGACGAAAGATACTGCATCGCTGGTGGAAACATTTTAACGTGGAGTTCGCGCACCCGCCAATTCCAGAAGGTCCGCTAACCGCCGGTCCAGTGCAGTGTATCACAGTCGAAGAGGACACCAAGGCGAGACAGCATGAAGAACCAAAAAGCGCCAGGATTAGTTAACATACAAGCAGGGGTCTGGAAAATGAATGAGGCTACGAGCACTACTGTGCCAATCTTCGAAAACAAAGGGGACCCGGTCGAATGCTTCAATCCCCATTCGCTTGCTTTCGCACACCATGAAGATCTTCGAGCGAATCCTTGATCAGCGGTTACGCGACATGATTGATCTGAGCAACAACCAGTGCGGCTTTGTGAAAGGACGAGGAACAACGGATGCAATATTTGCCGCTCGCTCACTCATGGAGAAGCATCGGGAAAAGCGGAAACCACTTCATATGGCTTTCTTGGACCTCGAGAAAGCTTACGATCGCGTGCCCCACCAACTAATCTGGTATGCGCTACGTGAGCATGGAGTGCCCGAAGCACTTATCAGCTGGATTCGAATGCTGTATATGAACACCATCCAGTCGAGTAGGATGTGCTGCGTTTATCCAATAGCTTTCCAATAAACGTTGGAGTTCACCAAGCTTCGGCCCTCTCGCCATTGCTGTCTATCCTCATCATGGACACGTTCACAAGATCTGTAGCCGCTGCTCCATGGACTTTGCTCTATGCTGACGATGTTCTTCTATGTCAGTAGGGAGGGATTGCAGCGTCAGGTGCAAGCATGGAATGACCGTCTAAGCCAGTATGGCCTTCGCCTCAACACCAGAAAGACGGAATACTTAGAGACTGACCCTAGCGAAGGCACGATCAAAGTGGAAGGCGAAGACTTACCGAAAACGATGTCTTTCAGGTACCTATGGTCCCGCCTGCAAATAACGCGGCATGGATGAGATGGAGAGAAATCACTGGATGTTACGTGGGGGGGGGGGGGCGCAGGCGAACCGAACTTGACTTGAGGCGAAGAGGCGCATGCCTCTTCGCCTCAAGTCGAAGATATACCTGACCATAGTTCGACCCATGGCACTGCACGGATCAATGCTGGCCATGCGAATGCTCCGACTGTCAGTTGCACTTCACGCCTCGATAGAATCAGTAACCATGTGATCAGATGCCAGATGGGTGTCGCATCCAATCGCTGAGAAGATACAAGAAAGGCGACTCCAGTGGTATGGCGCGATACCGTGGTTTATTGCATATCGATTTGAAGCTGACGGTCACCGGCCGAGAGGAAGACCAAAACAACGCTGGCAGGACACCATAAATGAGGACTTGAGAATGGTCAACCTCTCTAAAGAAGATGCACTAGATCGAGCATAGTGGCGACTTTGCTCGATTATGTGCACTTCTTTGGAGAGGTTGACCATTCTCAAGTCCCAGGAAGTCCGAAGAACGGACTCTGCGCAAGCGGGACAATGTTAGTATGAAGAAGAACAAGAAGATTCAGATAATCGTGAGGTACCGGGAAACACAATACAGTCCTCATCATTGCGGACCGGTGGGGCGTGGCAGTGCGGCTGCGTTTGGTGCGGTTTGGCAAAATCGTTCTGCACCAGTTTTTGAAGCGGGCAAGTGCATTACTGTATTATTCCTTCGTATTACTCGTTTTCTACCACTTTTTGTCGCATACGCGTTGCAACAAAAAAGGCTGAGAACGGCTTCAACAGTGTGCGCACTCCTTCTGGCTGACACGCCCCACCGGTCCGCAATGATGAGGACTGTACTCCTTGTAGTTCAATTTATTTCAAAGAGAACGATGCGAGAAATTGACTTTACTAAGTTAATACAAGCTAACATTCTACTCGAGCGAAAGGGGGAAAAGTGAGAAAATAGAAACAATGGGACTCGCAGTTGGGCCGCGTCGTCAATGCTTTGCGATATTTTTGACTCGAAGAATCACAGAATGCTTAACTGTGTATTCCTTCTCTTTCTTCTCATAGAACCTGCGTTTTTGTTTGCTTCTGACCTCTTTCATCTAATCTTTCGGAATTTCTATGAGCCACCCTTTCCGCTACGGCGGTTATGGTTGCATCTTCTAGAGCTGTCCCTTTGGCACCAACTACTTCAGGAATGAGAAATGTTTCACCATGTTCCTTTCCGATTTTGTTTGCGCAAACGGCGATCGCACGTCGCGCGAACTTGGTATGTAATGACCCAGGCTTCCATGCTAGGGTCTCGCTCCTCATTAAAACAAGGAAATCAGGCAAAGTTTGTTCCGAATGATCAGCAATACCCTAGCATGCCAGCCGAGACTCTATACTGCCGATTGCACCATTTTTGAAAAGTGGGCGGGGCTTCTTGAAAGTGGGCGGAGCCTCTCATAGTGGGCGGAGCTTCACGTGACAGTCCAAAAATGCAAAACTTTGAAAAATATCAAAATTCCGTAAAAAGCAAGTTGGCGTGGTCAAGGAGCGGAGCCTAATTTGCCAAACTCTAGAGAATGGGCGGAGTCGGCCATGTGTCAATGCCCAGTCGTTTTCAGTCAAAGTGTTTGGGAAACAGCAAAAGATAAGAAAAGTCACATAAGCAGAAGTTATGAAACAAGATTTGAAAATCTATGTCCGCGCTGACAAGTAGGCGTGGCCGTCGGGGCGGGCTCGCAGTGGTGTCTGCGTGATCTGGTTGATGAGTTTCCTAATAGGTGCGGTTAATTTGATTTGGAAAGTGATGGTGAATTTGATTTGAAAAGGGTGAATTTGGTTTGAAAAGGGGTGAATTTCGTTTTGAAAAATGTGAATTCGAAGTGAAAGTGGTATACACATAGGCCATATGGCATTAAATAGGCCTCCACAATTCTTGCGATTAGAAATGGAAGTAGGGTGTGTGCCGCATCACAAAAAGGGATTGATCCTGCGATGCCTTTACCCCTGTTTGGTGGAGTAGTGCCAAAATTTCGAGTTTTTGAGGTATCAATAGTCTAACAGAGGCCCGCTTTTCTGAAATGAATGCCTTCCGTATGAGAACACCCTCCGCACACTGTAAGCAGGTCTCAAACACGAATCTCCCTAGAAATTCCTTTTCTTCACCAACTCTCCGATTTCCGGACTGTCTAGGGAGCGGATTATGAGTTTTTGTAGCAAGCACTGTGTTCATCGCACCTCTCCATTTATTGCGAGTATGGCTTCCTCTCCACATCCGCCCAGTCACTACTGACTTTTCACATTTTTTATCAAGTTTATGGGTTCAACTGCATTCGAGTGATGTATTTTGGTACACGACAGCGTTTCACGAGTGCGCCTCGCCCACTGGGTGAGGTTCGCTTAGTTTGCGTGTGCAAGAAAAACTGTATTTCTGGGCACATAAACAAATAAACAGACGTAGCCGAATATTTGTCCTTAATTTCAGTCTCCGAATTCTCCGTTGGAGCCCCGCGTGCCAATCAAATGGATTACCACGAAAGACGATCCGCTTTCACCGTTCTACTCAACAGAGACTGACACCATACCACCGTTGGCCAAATTGATTCTGAAACGAACAGAGGTTGCTGATCGATATCTATTAGTTGTTTTATTATGCAAAAGTTCTAGTACATTTAGGTAATTCCAATGAGATGTCAAGCCGATGACGAGTACAGGCGTGAGGCGTTCAACATCACAAACACCAGTGAAGACGAGGAGTACAAAGATAGACGTGAGTCAGAAGGTTATCATCTGCTCCTATCCTACCTGAAAGCCACACATCAATCCAAGTCCTTGATGGGGAAGAGCGATGCTTGTCAAGTAAGGCTGCGTTCATCCGACAGCGTTTCCCATCGTCCACCAGCGTCTCGAGGGCTAACAAAACATAGGTATTGATCTAGCGTATGCCGGCGTCCACGAACGTTCACCAGCGACCGGGAGTAGAGAGATGGGGAACTAGGAGGGTAGCAAGCAGCTCAGTTTGGCATTCTAAAATTTGATGTAGGAAGTGTAGTTCTGCGGTGCAAGCGCACCGTAGAACTGCACTGCATTCTACATCGAATTGCACAATTCTGCACTTTACAGTTTTGCTGTGCGGTCGCACATGCTGCAATTTCACCATCCTTAATCTAATTTATGTCCTGGTAGATACTGACAGGCCATATCGATAACTGTACTTTGTTGGTCGGACGCTACCGGACGCTCGGAATGCCAGTGGAAGCTGGTAGACGCTGGTGGACGCTGCCGCGAAGTATGAAGCAGCCTAAGTTTCTTTCGCCAGCCCTGGAAACTTGTTGTGAACCGAACTACCAGGACTTCCATTCAAATTGAATTAAATAGACTGAAAAGCACTCAGTGCTGAGACGTGCTGACAACGTACTGTGAGTTGTGAGCTAAAGGCAATAAGATTTTCGTGCATCTAAAAACGAGGGTTGAGGTAGGTAATTTAAACTTTTTTGGAAAATGGTCTTTGCTCTTCGTGAGTTGTGCTTCACCTGGAATGGTACCATTTCATTCCTTTTCCCCTTGAATCTTTCCTGTCTATGTGAAAAAGAAGGGAAAACGTTGACGATGCTTATCCGCCATTCTCTCAGTTTCGATCAGATTTTCAGGCGAATGTCTTATGTCGAACTGGGGATCATGGTCCTTGTGTTCAGCTACGTGTGGAAAAGGAATTCGAATGAGAAGCAGAGTGTTCGTCTTCCCTATAAAGGCACGTTTGTTAGAATATGGAGGAAAAACTATTTCGTGTTTGCGGCGGAGAAATTATTCCATCACGTTCGAATCCTTTCTCGCAAACCAATTCCCTGTTATTTGAGTTACCCTATCATATGGACCACGTCGTGATAGCATGCCTCCCACTGTGCCTCTGGTTCCCTGTTTTAGCTCCGACTGCGTACGCTGGAGATTACCGTGAGCTTCCGCCTACTCCTAGATTTATTACTGTGTGGAATGTATTATGTAATATAAACGTGTCCTTGTGAAATCATGGCGAGCCCTTCCCCAAGCAATAATGATAATAAGTTGAAGATTACGTGGTCTCTCGGCGAGGGCAGTCGTACAAATCGTCCCTCGGATGTGATGAGCTACAGTCGTGTAGCGAGAAGACATCATACGAAGACACGTTTTTTGGCGTGTTGCATCAACATCTATAATGGCTTGTACATAAACTCTGCGTCGCTAATTTGATACGGATCAGGGCGCAGTTTGACGACGGGGGCATTGTGCACTTTCGCTGTTTGACTAGTTCCTATTTACAAGTCTCACTCCGGTGAAACCTGTGAGTGAGTGCTATGTTACTTGTGGTCATGGAACGAGAAGCAGAACACGGTATGAATTTGAGGGATTAATTTGAACACTAACACCAAAGAAAGACAGAAGTTTCATGCGATGAACTTTTCCTTTGGAGCGCTCATCACTGTCAGCATGGAGAAATGTATTATTACATTCGCACAGCGACGTCAGTAAAGAATCTAGGTGCATTCTAGAAGGGAAATAGATATGGTGGTTAAAAATAACTGTCTGGCAAAGGGAAGACCTACATCTGACCGTAAATTCCATTATTTATTCGCAATAAATAATTGTCACACCACCAATCTCTTGTGTAGTGTTTAAAAGTGGGCTATGGGACAAGTGTTAGAATTATGCACTAGGGCCAAGAAATAGCCCGGTTCAACTGGAATGGCATTGTCCGGCTCGCAAATATGGTAAAATGCGGTCGTCGGGCCCCAGTTCACCCCAATGATACATGCTCCGCATGCAGTTTTATGAGCTATCTTGTTGTACCCCTGACACTTGTGTCGAGTTTCAAGAAGTTCAGCAACAAGGTTCAAGGCAGCGCTCACACTGACGCGCGTCGACGCACTAAACGCGCTGTAACGCGCGTCGACGCGCTTCGATTCCAACAGCGCTGGACGCAAACCCAGCGGCACACGAGAATCGATCGGCGCCGCCTGCTTGTATATTATGATAGTATGGGGAACGCATTCTGGTATCGGTCGGCACTATCGCTAGGTTACGTGACAGTTCAAAGTTTTGTGGTGCTTTTGCGATATCCTCTCTAGTTCAGACAGATAGAGGATATCGTCTGCTAATGCATCCAGATGTGCAAAACATGTGGGAAGCTAAGGTATAGTAGGCCTTTTCCAGAGGAGGGGTGTCGTGCCCAGGTGCGGACAAGGGACGTTGGCATCGGCGGGGTGCACCCGGGTCACGCCAGAACGCGGGGTTATAAGGGCCCGCACCCTCCTACAAGGGGACGTCGCGCCGTTGTGTGCCCAAGGGTCCTGCCACGGGCTGAGTGAGGCCTGCCCCTTGCTAAGTGGATGACAACCATGTACCTACTCACTATAACTACTCTGACAAGACACCATTACCTTCAATAACTTCATATAGAAGAACACTATATGATAACATCGACAAAATCATTGTAATCCAATAACACATATGAGAAATGGCTAATCGATATTAATATGTACAACAAATTGATAATGAGGAAGTCATACCTGTGGATGAAGATGAGGATGGGAAGAATGGAGGCAGTTGATCAGCAGTGACAGGAAAAGACCACGGACGAAGGTTGAACAGGGACAAGGAATGGAGGCGATATGAAGAGATCTGCTAGTCCACCATCGGAAAGTTCAGCGTCAGCTCCTATCAAACAAGTGAAATCGTCGGCTAAGGATTCGCCTTCAACTAGTAAGCCTGTTTCTACCATGGACAATTCTTCTTTGCTGGATGCACTGAATGAGTTACAGAACACTGCTTTCTTCGCTCCGTCCTATAACCGCAATTATCGTCCACTTGCCTGTGCTCGTCTTTTCGATCCGAAAATCACCCCAAAACGTCCCTTGCGCGATCGAACTCCACTGGAACTCATCTCCGACCTGGCTAAAGGGAATTTTGCCGCTTATGATGTGCGTCAAGATAGCGATGATGCTTCTGAAGATCGAAGTCTTCCACCATCTGAGCGTCTTTCATTGCAGATCGCGCAGTCTCTCACGCTTGCCGAAAACTTCGACCACACTTTCAACGTCGAGCAGCTCTCTACTAGGGATTTCGTGATGATAGACGCCTTCATGCGCCATGCGGTCTACAGCGCATTTCGAGAATGGATTGTTGAAGAGTCGTGCTATCCAACGCCAGCTGACCTCGCCTATCCGCCTGTCCAAAAGTATTCCATCTATTTGATCGTTCAGGCTTATAAAGCCCTACACACGGCGACCGAGAAAGCGAGCACGTTCACACGTTCAGCTCCAAACTACCATCCCGAATCTTTCGCAGAAGTGAGGATCGTCGTTCACCTTCGAGGCAGTCCGATACGCGTCAGAGACGTAGGTCACCGGCTCCTCGCTCTCCTCCTCGCAGACAATCGCCACAGGGAGAGCGGAGGACTATCGATCCGTCAATCGTATGTTTCTTCTGTGAGGCTAATCATTATACTGCAAACTGCACTACCATTAAGAGTCTCACGGATCGAGATACAAAATTAGTTTCTGTTGGGAGATGCCTTTACTGTCTTTACGTCCACGCGCCAGGCTACTGCAGACGCGATACGCCTTGCCGTGTTTGCGATTCGGATGAACATCACCCAGCACTCTGTCCTTACAGTTACTTTCTCGTTCGCGATATTGGACCGGACGTGAAGACATTCTTCAAAGCTATGTATGTCCTCTACGAAAACTACTACATTCGTCATCCAAAGTCATAAACGAATACGCCTAGTCTTTCACAATGTCGACGACCGCCACTCTCCGGGAAGGCCCCTTCGGTTTGGTCTGGGTATACCCTCATCCACCCCACAGCGCTGGGAGATCGCTGCTTTTGTCTAATCCCCCCTCGGGAGTTTTCACCCCCCTGCCAAATTGGCTAATGCGAGACAAAAATCTCCCTCTCGCACTTTTGCAAACCCGTAGGTCCCTTTTCAAAGTCAACAACAACCGCCGTATCAACTTCGTCGATTACGGTCTATTGGCTCCACCTGCTTTATTCGATGGCCAGTTGGAATGCTTCGATGGTCAGTTGGATTCGATCGGTACGCGATCACGAAGGCAGTCAGTTGCAGATGCAGTCAGTGATTACATTTTTGTGCTTTGCTTCACTATCTCTTATCTTCATTACCTCACTTACTCTACTCATTTATGAAGTTTTCTTGATAACTGATTTTTATTTGTTTTTGAGGACCCTTAAGGCCTCACATATTTACTCGATGCGCTCTGAAGGAATATGTACATATTTGTTGTTGTTCCATATTATTTTTGCCCACTGTATCTCATGTCTATGATCAGTACGTGACAGGTCCCCCTTTTTTTTCGCTCATTATTCGTCGTGGTCACACACCAGGGCAACTTTTCTGGCGCCCGGAGTGTCGTGACTGTCGCACGACCGTCCCTGGGGGGCTAATGGGGTGCCGGGAGGATACCGCGCTCGGGTTGCACTGCAGTCGGTCCTACTACGAAGAGCATGAATCGCGGGGAACCGCGCACATAGTATATTGTCATCACTTTTCAAATCAGTCGTCGTCGTGCGCTCATGATGAGCGGTCGTGCAACCGGTGGACCTGCGCA